GTTGGGTCTTCCGCCTAAATCGAGCTCCGCCGGGGCAGCTGGCAAGAAGCGTCTGTTTGTTTGGTGCTTCTAAATGAGTGTTAAAAGCTGCTCTGGCGCGTTACATTCCTCCTCCTCCTCCGCGGCAAAGCTGACGAGGGCCACGTGTTCAGGGAGAAACGAGCCCAGGAACAAAATGACATCGCGGGCTGCCCAGCGCGGGGAGGTCACGGCCAAACAAGGTGCGAGGGAGGAGGAAGTTCGCAAGGAGAGCGGGGGCTGCTCGAGCCTCCCCTTTCCCCCCTCCACCTCTGAACCTCCCGTCCCCACAAACACCGCCGCTTTCTGCTAATGGTTTCACAGAGTCCTTTTATATCAACAAGCGAATGGCTCCAGCAGACATCGCGGGCTGCCCAGCGCGGGGAGGTCACGGCCAAACAAGGTGCGAGGGAGGAGGAAGTTCGCAAGGAGAGCGGGGGCTGCTCGAGCCTCCCCTTTCCCCCCTCCACCTCTGAACCTCCCGTCCCCACAAACACCGCCGCTTTCTGCTAATGGTTTCACAGAGTCCTTTTATATCAACAAGCGAATGGCTCCAGCAGGCACAAGCAGTGGGCTTGTGCCCGGCTCCGGTGGCTGCAGCAGGGCCAGGAGGTGCCGAGGCCAAGGGATTCGCCATTCCCAGGGGAAAGGATATTGCTCTGAGGGTCACAGCCAACAACAGGCAGGAGCCCACAGAGGCTTGGAGGGGGCTTGTCCTCATCACCAAGCAATGGGCAAGTGATTCTTCACTCCAAAGGTGAAGAATCATGGTCATCTCCCAGCCCAGCACCACCACCCATGAAGACACCTGCAACCCGGTGGGCTGGGCAGGGAGGAGGCTCCAGCTCCTCCTGAAATCACTGTAGAAGACTATTTTCCCCCACCACCCCATGCTGCCCTCTCTGCACCAGGCTGCTGTCTGGACCGTTTCCAAGCCTGCTCACAGCCTGGGATGCAGGACAGGGCTTGTGGGAAGTAGCAGGCAATAGACAGGCTGCCAGAGGAGCATCAAACCAACAGCTATGCTCATCCACACCGACGACCACCTCCCAGGGCACCAACAACAGGGTGGCACCACAGTCAAGCCTACCTGCTAACAGATTCATTTCTATTGCACCTGCAATTACTGCAAAATCTTCAATGATTCAGGATGGGAGAGCTGCTACCAAGGCTGGACACCACCAGCTGCTGGGAGTGATGTATGTGCAGATGGCTGCAGATGCCTGCAGCCCTGGCCATGTGAGGACAGAACACAGCCTTCAGTGAGGCCACCTTGGGCCACCCTTGGCATGACCCAGCCACTGTGGTCTCTGCTCCCACCATCGCCAGGGGTCCAGGCTTTGGGAATTTCAGTCAAAACATCATGGGAAGCCATAAGGGAAGGATGGGGAGCCCTGCAGTCCTGTATGTAGCAGCAAACATCCTCTTACGGATGAAGGCTTTGGGGCTCGACCCTGCTCCCCCATGGAATGGATTCCTTCTCCCGCCAGCATTCCAACCAGGCAACTCCACAGTCAGGAATTCTCGCAGGCAAGGCTCTCTGCAGGCTGGGATATGCCTAAGGACGGGGGCATCCCCCTCTCTCCATGCAGCTGCCACCCAGCACACTGCAGCAAGTCATGCCTTCCCCAGCATCACTCGCCTGTGTACTGATACCCCTGCGAGAGGCGAGTGATGCTGGGGAAGACATGACTTTCACTTCCAGCCTCCATCAGATAAGACACCGAAACCCAAACAGATCAGATCCTGTGCGAAAACTCCAGTAATTAACACCAGTGAGGACCAGCCAGCCACAGGTAAACAGAAGGTATCCAGTTGAAATACTCACCAGTCCCATCTCGTGCACTCGGAGCCCAGCCCCACAGGCACGCGAATGTTAATATGCGCAATCTTATTAAATGAAGGTCGCAAAAGCTGTCAGGGAAGGGGCATGATGAAGTACCAGCATGCATGGTGACATGAGGAGGAGCAATGCGGAGCTGAGGCTTTCCTGGGATCCTCTGGCATGTGCAGGAGGACTGATGGGAATCTGGGAGATAGGCCAGAAAGCCCAGTGCATGAGGGTGGTGGAGAGAGGATTTTAGCCTTGGAAACACATGATAGGACAAGAGGCAATGACTTTAAACTGAAAGAGAGTAGGTTTAGATTAGATATAAGGAAGAAATTTTTTAGGATGAGGGTAGTGAAACACTGGGACAGGTTGTCCAGAGAAGTTGTGGATGCCCCATCCCTGGAAGTGTTCAAGGCCAGGTTAGACGACGCTTTGAGCAACCTGATGTAGTGGAAGGTGTCCCTGTCCACAGTAGAGGGGTTGGAACTAAATGATCTCGAAGGTCCCTTCCAACCCAAACCGTTCTATGATTCTATAAAATGAAAGTGGCAACAAGTGATCCTCAGTCCAAAACACCAAGTAGATCTGGCTGTTGTGAGGTGCCATTGGAGAGTTCCATCCCTATCTCCATCCCCATCCTGGTCCCCCAGCACAGAGCATCACGGATCATACCTTGGTGATCTTGGGGTCAGTGCAGCGGCTGT